ATAGTATTATTTTTTTATTTCTCAGTTTTATAGACATGAATGCTAAGAAACATTTTTACATAAATCAAGTAGATGAGAATGCTAAAAGTTTTATCATAGCAAAATTTGATGAATTCTTCAAAGTCCTTCCTAATTATTTGATAAAAATTGTATATTAATGTATCACCTAAAAAAATTTGATCTGGGCTGGGTTGTGGCTCAGCAGTAGAGGGCTTGCCTAGCCTGTGCGAGGCCCTGAGCTCAATTCTCAGCACCACATAAAAATAAGCAAATAAAATAAAGGTATTGTGTCCAACTACAACTAAAAAATAAATACATAAAAAACCTTTAATGATTTGTCAGTTGATAAGCAGTTAGGTCACCTGTCAGCTTGATTGACAGTAAAAACCACAGTGTACCAGGAACAGGTGTTGGTGGGAACACTTTGAGTCCATGACATAGGGACAGTCCATCTATGCCTGGCCTCAGCACTGCTTTACTCCTCAGGTACAGCCTAGAAAAAGGGAAAGTTTAGCTTCATCAGTGTTGTAATTTACCAACCAAGATGTGCTCGAGCACTAAAAGACAAAGGAAATACGAAATAATAAATGGTGGGATCTAACCTGGACAATTCTTTCACAATGGTGAAAGAAGATGGCTAACGGGCTGGGGAAAAGTAGAAGAGAAAGTAAAGGGAAAACTCTTTAAGATAAAATATTGGTTGTAATCGTTGAAGTGGCACAGGGGAAAAAGCAAAATGGTCACCTACAATATTTGGCGACTTTGTAGTTGGAGCAGTTACAGGTCATGAACACGTCCAAGGGATGGTCATGGGTTTTGTGGCTGAAGCTGAAGCAGAACAAATTACTGAAGATGAGCTCATGGAAACAGGTAACCATGGTCGTCAGAAAGGTTGGAACCATGAAGAATGGAAGAGGGTGTGGAGTGGAGGGGAAGCCGGAGGCAGACATTGGTGAATTTGAAGAAAGAGGGAAAGGCTGGAAAAAGAGGACCTCAGAGAGAGGAAGATGCCCTTGAACCAAAAAGGGGAAAGTCTTCTGGATTCAGATTTAAGGTGGAGGAAATGGTTTGGAAATGGCCCTGGGGAACAGACAGTTCCAAACTCATTGCTTGACCCTGAGGTAATGTAAGGGTCCTGCGAAAAGTCGGAAGAAGAGACCACCAAGAGACTGACTCATGCAATTGCAGAAGGGGATTTATTGAGGATCCAATTCAGCGTGCTGAGGCTCCAGGCTCACTCAAGAAGYGAGAGCAGCCCAGAGCCCAGAGCAGAGGCTAAGCAGTGCTTAAGTACACTTTTGGGGGAGGGCGGGGGCTTTGTATACATCAGAACAAATCATCATGAGGCACGGGAAAATTGAACAACAACTCTCATACATGATTAGCACATTCATTGGCGGGAACAGGTCGGGCGGGGGTGATTGGTCACTCCTAAGCGGGGTACACATTCAAACTGATTGGTTTGGGCCCTGTATGCCTACAAGCTGCACAGGGCCCTAGGCTAAATGGCCAGTAGGGCGTTGTCTTAACTGCCTCAGGAATTTCAGGTTCTGGGTTGGCAGAGGAACTTAACAATACCTGGTCCTTTACTTTTTAACTCAGGCTTTGCAGCTTAGAAACTTTWCCCTTTCATTATGAGCATCTGTCCTTTGAAATACCACATTATCAGGAGGGAGTCCTCTTTATTAATTTAGAGGAACAGAGCTGATATTGAAGACATTGGAGAGCTTGCTACTTATAGGGGAAGGACACAGTAACAAGAGATCACAGTAAAATCTGAGCTTTGCTAGATGAAGATAATGATACAAATCAAGATCCCTGGTGTGAATGGGAGGAGCCAGTGCATTCCAGTTTGGGTGTTGACTGAGGAAAACAGAAAGGGAGAGAGGTGGCTTTATTCCAGCAGTCTTTGAAGAGTTGGCCATTTGCCCAAGTTGATAAATGTTTCTCACTTTGTCAGAATAATGGAGGCTGACATGCTGCAGACATGCTGAATTATTATTTTAATGTAGTTTTGCTTTTTACTGCCAGTATGACATCGGGACTGTTTCTTTGCATCTGTATCATTAAATAACAAAAGACCTTGGCTTGTCTTTCTCTGTTTTTGCATATCTGTGTTTATGCATGTGTGTAATCTTTGGTAAGTTTTGGTAGGAGGGTTGTTTTAGCTTTGTAGAAATAGAGAGGTTTTTGTTTTCCTCCATATTTTGGAGCTCTTTGCCTAGTAAAGAAGTTCATCCCTTTGCTATGAAACTCTCTGAACTTACATTATCTAATACAGTAGCCTCTAGCCATATCTGTATTTTAAACACTTGAAAAGTGGATAGTGAGACTTAGGAACTAAATTTTAAAATYTTATCTTTAATCTAATTTTAACTAATTTAAATTTACATTTAAAAGCAAGTACTCATTTTAGTTTTGAAAAACTTGTAAATTGTGTTTGGAACAACCTGGGTATATAAGTCTATTGTTTATATATTATATGCCATTGAAATATTCAGAAGTATTTTGGATAAAACTTTAGGAAGAGATTGAAATGTACTTTAATTTTAAAGAAACATTCTGATAAATAATAAAGTTATTTATTAAATAACAATTTAATAAAAATTAAATAATTTTAAAGGAAAGGGAATAAAAATTAATTTTTATTTTTAATCTAATTTTTCTTTTGTTGAAATTATAATCTTTTATATACATTGTCATAAAATAGTATTGAAATTAAATTCACCTGTGCTTTTTTAACACTTCATCTTATTAGCAGAAAATTTTACATTGCATATCTGTTTACCAGACATTATATTTCTACTAGTTACCATTGTTTTGAACTGTGTGCAATCCTAAAGGGTTAATAACTCTCAGTTTCTTTTGGAGTTATTGGTTCATTTGGTTTTCCTCTCTTCAGAATAAACTTTGATCATGTATGTTTTTCTCAAAGACCATTTATTTCAAATTCTTTCAGATGTCTTAATATAGTGCCTCACAAATTTTATCTATATTTATTTATTTATGGATTTTGCAGTGAATTACTTTTGAGATGTATTGATAAATTCTGCTTTTGTTGTTTTTTGATTAATTACATATCTGCTTTGATGTTTGTTGATTTCTCCTTTTTAAATACTTATATGTTCTAATATATTTTAAATCAAATTAATTTTTAATAATTGTATGAATTATACTTCCATTTTCTTTTCTGATCAGATTTTCATTTTTAAAAAGGGTATCTCAATAAAGTGAGAAGTCAATATTTTAGTTTCTTTTCATTTCCACAAATTATCTTTCCTTATACATATTGACTTGTTTCTAATWAATTGTATACATTTTATCTACTAGTTTTTCTGAATATTTCCTGTTCAATGAAACATTTTTTTTTCTCACAATATTCCAGTTAAAGATGAAATGGGAGGTGGCTGGGAATGTACTTCAATCRTAGAGCACTTGCCTACCATGTCTGAAACCACAAGTTAAATCCCCAGCACTACAGAAAAACAAAAACAAGAACAATCAAATCWATAAAACCCAGAATCTTTTCTGCATAGGAATCTCAGTTCTTATCCTTTCTTGCTTTATAATTTATTTTTATAGAGAAAATAATTATACTTTAAAAAGGAAYAACAATGGATATAATGTATCATTTATGTTTCAGGTACATGCTAACTCCTGGCCCTGATGGTCTACTTAATCCTGTGAAGTACATTCTAGTTTTATCCCCAGTGTGCAGATGGGGAAACCAGATCAAGAAGTAGTACAAGATCCATACACAGTTGCCTGGCTGTTGCCCTTGGGCTTCAGACCTCACAAGTCTAAATGAAGAGTTCACTTTCTTATCTACCTCAGGAGAGGTGTCTTTCCTATCTACTTCTTACACATCGGTTTAGTCTGCTTTTTCACTGTTGTGTCTAAAGCATCTGACCAGAACAACTGTAAGGGGGAAAAGTTTGAGTGCTCACAGTTTCAGAGGTCTTAGTCCATAGAAGGCCRACTCCATTCCTCAGGGCTCAAGGTGAGGTTGAACCTTGTGGCAGGAGAGGGTGGCAGAGGGAAGGAGCTCACAACAGGAAGTAGAGAGAGACTCCAGTTCCAGATACAAAATACATACCCCATTAGCAACGCCCCCAATTAACCACTTCCTCCAGCCATACCCCACCTGCCTCTAGTTACCACTTAGTTAATCCCATCAGGGTTTAATGCACTGATTGGGTGAAGACTCTCATAATCCAATCGTTTCTCCTCTGAACCTCTTGCATTGTCTCACCTGTGAGCTTTTGGGGAACATCTCACATCCAAAGCAGAACACACATGAAACTAGGAAAATGCAGCAGAACTCTTTTCAGAAGATGTTTTGCATTCAAATATCATCGCAGGTCGGGGGCTACGGTTATGGCTCAGCAGTAGAGCGCTCGCCTCGCACATTTAAGGCCCTGGGTTCGATCCTTAGCACCACATATAAATAAATAAAATAAAGTTATTGTGTCCAGCTACAAAAAATAATTTAAAAAAAATAGGTCAAGTGAAGATTCAATTGTCAGGCAATTATTACGTGCAGTTAAATTCAGTGTTAATACTCTGCCCCACAATGTCACTACTTCTGTGCAATGAGCTGGGATTTCCTAGTGCAGCTTCACAAAAGTCATTTACGCATCTGGAGTAAGGCACATTTTCTATAACAGTTGTTTTGTTTAATCATTTTCAGGAGTGGGGAAGAAACATGCCAATAAGCCATTTTTAATATGCTGTTTCTTCAAGTTAGAATTTTTTGAAATCTCACGTAGGTCTTATATTGTGACAGAACAGGAGAAATTTCACACAGTTGCCATCTATAGCTGACCCAAGACAAACCCTTCTCTTTTTTTGCCTCTCAACTCTGTCCAATTCAGTATCAAATACCTCTTAAAATTAAGTCAGTGACAGTGTGGTCTCCTTTAAAAAGATTCATATATTTAATGACGACGAATGACTGTGATTTATAAATATGTAATCTTTTTTCTTTCTTTCTTTTAAAGATAGTGTTTTTAGAAGAAGCATCTCAACAAGAAAAACTGGCCAAAGAATGGTGCTTCAAGCCGTGTGAAGTAAGAGAGCTGAGCCACCAGTGAGTCACCCCCGACTTCTCCCTTTCACAGGGTGCCCTGGACTAGGCCGAAATGATGGGAAACCTGCCTTGAGAGAGAGGCTTTTAAAATTAATTAATTAGTCATATAATAGGGGAGATGGAAAGGAGGAGTTACACGGAGAATAGGAAGATGGAGGACAGGAACTTTGAGAACCAGAAGTTGCCATTTTCCATCTATTTCTTCTGGGAATATTTATTGTAGCACTATCTTCCAGGTCTCCGTGGGGCTTTACAGCCTCATGTAAAGAGATACTTAAGCATGACAATAGCAGATTGTGAGGTCTCCTGTCAAGGAAGTAAATGGGGGGAGGAGGGAAATGACAGATAAACTATTGGGGAGTAGAGTTTGAGATGCAGTCACTCTGACAGCATGGTTAGAGAAGACCAATGCCCAGAAGTGCATTTGAGCTGCAATTTAGGTGATTTTTAATATTTGTATGAGCTGTGTTTCCTGTGGTGGGCCCACTGTCTTCACAGCCTGGTTGATTTGTTTTATAGAAATGGGAATACTTATTTTAAGCTCAAAAATTGTATCTTGTTTCAGACCAATTGTGTTTCCAAGGTCAATAAGAATGGCAGCACTTTCATTGTGAAGATACTTTCAACGCTTAGAAATTGACTTCAGGCTAATGTAGCAAGAAGAACGTAGAGTGGATCTTCATGCTACAGCTTTGCAGCTGTCATCTCAGCTATTAAGCTCATCTCTGCTGCAAGGCCAGAGACTGGGCGTCTGTTCATACAGTTTCGTTGTCCTTGCAGTTGTGTTCACATCTCCTCCCTCCTCCCCTTTCCTTTCACTTCTTGGTAGCTTGGAAGTATGTGAGGAATAAGTAGGGACATTAATACAGCAACGTCTGCTCTTACTGATTCTTCTGCTTGCTGGATTTTCTTAAGCATCTATTTTGAGAAACAAAGGCTGTCTGTCTTTGTGACAGGGGTTTGTGGAAGGCTAGGAAATGGACAAAGTGGAGGTGTGGGGGAGACAAGAGGATGGGGTGGTGGGGTCGATGTACCTGTGGATCTTCAAATGCTTTTGTCCCTCTTTATGAGATTGCTTTGGAGTTAAATTCGTTAAAAATTCAGATTCTGGGGACTCTATAGGCATTACACACAGAGAAGTGGTAAGGCAAGACATAATTTAAATTTCAATGGGAGACTGAAATATTTGAAGAAAAATTATATTTAAAATGCAAAATAACTCATTATCATACACACAAGTTACATATGGTAGAATTGCTCCAAGTCATTAAAATATCATAGAAAATAATGTCTCTGGTATTCTTTTTTAATAGCTTGGTCCTAATAGTGTATCTACAGGTATATCTTGGTACAATGTGGATTTTTATAAAAAGAAAATCACAACTGAAATTGTAAGCCTAAGCAGCACTGTGTAGGAGTGGGTCAAATTGTGGTCATAAACCATATATAGGAAAGTTCATTAGGGTGAGGGGTGTGAAGTGTTTACCTTCATCACAAAATTGAAAGATCATGGGGAGAGCAAACACTTTAGTAATCAAGATAAATAATACTTTAATGCAATCTTTTTTTAAAAAAATAAAAATTCATGATGAACAAAATTACAAAATTTCATTTACAAAATAAAGACAAGGTGTTTTTTGATAGCTTGTAACCTTGAGTTTTCTTGCACAATGGAACTGTTCTTTTAGACAGTCCAGAGTTTCCAAACTTGCATTGCATCCCCACATCCCTGGCAGGGCAAGTGAATGAGGGTGTTAATGGTATGCAAATAAATTGGGCAATGCAGGCCTGTAGCTACAGTACTGTGGTTTGATTGTAGATCTTCTGTTAATGTTTTCCATTTGGTTAAAAGAAGGGTAGAGGGCTGGGATTGTGGCTCAGTGATAGAGTGCTCACCTAACACATGTGAGTCACTGGGTTCGATCCTCAGCACCATATAATAAATAGATAGATAGATAGATAGATAGATAGATAGATAGATAAGTAAATAAATAAAAGATGGAGGATGTTCTTATAAGTGTGCATATGGGTGTGTATTATTCTTTTTCCTTGGGTTATAAGATATCTTAGCCAACACTACAGGTTTGGAATATGAAGATGATGGTTTTTATTTTGGTGAAATTGATATGCTTTCTTAAGGGAATTATTGTAGTAATTAAGTAGAAAGAGAAAAGCTGAAGAGCAGAGGGAGGAAGGACAGCCATTTCCCCTCCTATTGTGGCCTTCAACCTCCTCTCTGCTTTGCTTGTAACTTGGCTTGGTGCTATCATTCAGCTGTCAGTGATGTCATAAGTGCAGAACTGAGTTCCAGTCCTGGCTGGGCCACCATTTTACAAGTCTGTAAATAAGCTTGCCATTCCCAGCTTCCTTTGTTCTGTCAAATGAGTGGGCAGGCTTGATGACTCACATCTCACAGGCACCTCTCTCACATTTCACACAGGCACGTCGATATCTGTAATAAAGCCCATACTTCAACCTTGACTATGCCAATCTTTGTATTAAGGAGCATTTCACAGGGCTTCCTATTTTCTTAAAAGGCTTGTAACTTTTCTGGGTGAAAGTCATACTTTAGATACAATAAGTTCCTGCTCTTCTGTTGGTTCTGGAGATTGTTATGCCTTGAATTATTCCCTCACTCTTGCATCTCTGCTCTTCATGAACATGGTTTCTGCATTTYCCCCCATCCTGCCCTTCACTACCAAACATCAGTAAAAGGGCTCTCCATCCGTTTCATACATTCTCTAACACTAATGCTGTCTTCAGCACCTAGGACAGTAACTAAAACGTGTTAGAGAATCAGTGGGTGAGTACTTTTTAAATGAAGGACTCTATTCCTCTGAAATTTGATATCTCCCCCAATCATTGGATGGAGAATGGTCTCAGGATCTTTCTTGAAGTTACATATCTTTGACTGTTTTTGTGGTGAGTCACTGTCCTGACCCTTTTTGAAACTCCCACTTCATTACTCTTCCTGACACCTCTGTGTCCTGGATCCCTTTTATCCCGACAACATCTCTGCCAAGATGGATCATGACCTTTTCTCTTCCTCCATCTTCCTCCTTAGGTGGAGGCTACTGTTCGAGGTTTCATTTTTTTTTTTTTTTTTTTACTTTCACAAACATTTCTGGCCCCACTAACTGATAAAAGAAGCCTCTCAAGTTTGAATCCCATTTTTAACTCACATGATCTCCTCTCCCATATCTTCAATAACTTCTTGGAGTTCATGTGCTCTTGCTCTGTGTGTTTTGAGTGTGTCCTCCAAAAATTAATGTGCTGGAAGCCTGGTCTCCAGTGTGGCAATGTTGAGAGGTGGTGGAACTACTAAGACGTGGGCCTCCTGGGAGGTTTTGGGGTCATGACCTCCCTTGCAATGGATTTATGCTGATCTTGTAAAGTAAGTGAGTTCTTATGAGAGTTGATTTAATAAAGCAAGGCCACCCCATGCAATGCACCCATTCTGTATGCTACAGCTAATAAAAGATCAGGTTCTTTCTCTAATAATTATCCTTTTCCTTTCTGTTCCCATCAACACAATCTATTCAGAAACTTCATGCTTGGGAAGCTGTAGGACTTTCCCCAAACCCTGTCTACCACCTCCTGTTTCATCATTGCAAACCCTGCCTATCACAATCTGCCAAAGAAAGCAACAACAAAAAGAAACAAATCCCTGTGGTCCCTTCTATCTTGGGCAACAGATGTATGATAATTCAGTAAATTGAATACTCATGACCTTATATTTAAAAAATACTTTTTAAAGAAAAAAAATGTATATACTGAAATGCATAGATATCAGGTATAGAATTTGATGTTTTGACAAATATATGTGCCCTTGTAACCAATATGCCAATCAAGATATATAACATTCTTTAAAAAAATTTTTAATTTATTTTAATTAGTTATACATGACAGTAGAATGCATTTATGCACTTTGATATATCATACATATATAGGATATAATTTCATTTTTCTGAGTGTACATGTTGTAGAGTCTTATTGGTCATGCAGTCACATATATACATACAGTAATAATGTCTGTTTCGTTGTACTATCTTTCCTGTCCCCACATCCCCTCCCCTTCCCTCCTATCACTTCCTTTAACCTAGTTTAAGGTAACACTATTCTTCTCTAGTGCCCCCCACCCCCACCTTATTGTGAATTACTATCCACATATTAAAAAAAATATTTGGCCTTTGGTTTTATGGGATTGGCTTATTTTGCTCTTATTCTAGAAAGTTCCCTCAAGCCCGTTGCAAGTCTGTCATTCTCCAACCCCTCATAGGCAGCCACTGTTTGATTTCTATCATATAGGTTACTTTGGCCTGTTTTTGAACATCATTTACATAGAATGACTCAATATATCCTCCTTTGTGTCTGGATTATACCATTCAAAATCATGTTTTTGAAGTCTATCTGTATCATTGTAGTTAAGGGTGTTGATTATTTTTTTTAATGCTGAAGAGTTCCATGGTACTGACTTTGTTTACCCATTTTTCCTATGGTGGTTTTATTTTTGCTGTAGTTTCCAATTTGGGACTAATATGAATAAAACTGCTGCAAACATTTTTGTGCAATCTGTTTTGTAAGCTTATCTTTTGTTTCATTTGAGTAGATATCTAGGAGTGAAATTGCTCACTAGGACAACTTAATGTTTGAGCAATCTATCTCTCTATTTCCCCCTCCTCACTCTCTCTCTTTCACACACACACGCACACACACACACACACACACACACACCACCCCTAAAATCCCCAACTGGATTATATAAGATTATATAAATCTTTGAGGACAAGAAAATGCCTTAAATCTCTTTGGACTTCCCTCAAGGCTTATCAGAGCTTCTTAAACATACTTGGGAAATACCATTAGATTGAACCATCTCACTGTAGGAAGAAGTTACCCTGCTCTTCCACTTTGTGGTCATGGAAGAAGCAACAGCCCTGAGGAGTGACAGACCTGGAGAGGTCAGTGACTGACACCTGAGAGGAATTAACCCCCCCACCCCCCACCCCCCAGAGCTCTGCACACTATAGACTCATTTAGTGCTGCCCTCTGGCCTCACTTGCAAGTAATCACTGTTCTCTATTTCCATTGTTAGGGAGTTAGCAATTCTGTCACATGGGGTATAGTGGCCAAGAGCAAGGAGGYTTCAGACAGATAAGAGTTTCAAAATTCCGAAGCTGAACCTGAGTCTCTATTCCAAAGTTGAATAGTGAAGGATTACTTTTTTCAATCTCCTTAAATTTCCTGAGCTTATATTTACCCTAGTGTAAATGAGGGTATTATTTTCATACTCCTGGTGTTTGTGGTGAGGTTACATCATCGTCATTACTAACATTTATTGATGCTGTCCATCATCTAGATTTTGCTCTTACCCACAGGTATTAGTCCTCACAACAATGCTACGTGCTGCTCCTGTCCTCATTTTATGGAAGGCGAAACAGATGCAGGGAAGTTAAATAACGTGTCAGGCATCCCACTGCAGGGTGACAGTAGGGCCTGGCTTCAGATCCAGACAGTCTAGAGAGTAGAATGCACACACCTAACCCTTCTTCTTCTTCTTCTTCTTTTTTTTTTTTTTAACACCTAGCCTGCATTCCACAATGCTGTTTCCAGTTCCCAGTGCATATACATATGCAGGAAATACTAACTGCTGTCACCACTGCCATCTTCATCACCATTTCTAGCTCTTCTTTTAAAATAAGACCTTTACAGCAACTCCTGGATCCTTTGTCTTCCATCTGAGTGTATCTATGCATTCGATTTGGAAATGAGATTCTTTGCGGTATCAAGTTTTAAGTTTAAATTCCTTATGTGATTTGACATTTGGTTAGGGTGGTAGCAGTGGTACTGCATATCAACTTTTAACAGATATCTGTTTGGTAAATTTAGACACTTAATAGACACCAGTGAACTGGATTAGCTCCTTAGCAGAGCTTTGAGTGTCTGCCGGCACTGGGCTGCCTTTGTTCTGCAGATAGGTCTTCTGAAAACTATTCATATCTTTCCAAGACTTTCTAGTATAATAATGAGTAGAAATGTGAATAGTAATTGGTAACAGCARCAGTAAACAGAAACATCTAGGGAATGATAGTCACAGCCCCCTCTTCACTTAGCCATTCAGATCAATGACCCACTCAAACTTCTGTCTTCTAAATTCACCTGTCCCTAGCCAGCCCCAGGCTGCTGCTTCCTTTCAGAACTCAGCCCCTTGAGGTTATGGCCAAGGACAAGATTTCTTGCAGCCAGACAAAATCAGGATGACATTGCACCTAAAATTGCAGCCAATATTTCTCATCTTCAGTCACCTTCAGTGACTTCTGTGTATTCCTCAATATGGCTCTAGAAGTTTCACAGATCTCCTCTCCTTTTTTAGTTCTCTGCCTTACAACCACGAGTTGTGAGAACTAAATAGTTGAATTAGGTTATAACTTCCTTCCTTTTTTGTGCTACGACTGCTTTGCTTGTGCTCAGTGCTGTGCTTTCCCTTCCCTTGGTGATCTCTCGTTACCTTTGCACTTACCCTTTCAACTTAGGAGCTCTATATCTCTCAGCAGAGTTTGATTCTCATTTCCTGACAATGCACAGTTGTCTGACTGCATCAGCCATAAACCTGTGTAGGATGAACAATTAAATCATTGTCAAGACAATATGTGATTTTGAAGATATGCAAAGTGAATAAAGATGTTATTAAATGCCTTTCCTGTCATCTTAATTTCCAGTGAGTTCTTCATGCCTGGGCTAGTGGATACACACATTCATGCCCCTCAGTATTTCTTTGCTGGAAGTAATGTAGACCTGCCACTTCTGGAGTGGCTGACTAACTACACATTTCCTGTGGAGCGGAGATTCCAGAGAATGGATTTTGCTGAAGAAGTCTATACCAGAGTTGTCGTAAGTATCCTGTGTGTGAATATTGTATTATGCTTGGTTAGTTATAGAAATATCCTTTCCAAGCCAGATTTAAAGTTATAAAGCTTAGGCAGTTAAGGCTTTGATGGACTATAGCATTTTTTAAAAAAAGTTTTTCCATAATCCAGGGAGTTTGTGACCACCTCCTCTACACAGCTGGACTGTGGCAAGAAGAGAGTTTGAATCTAAGTCTCCAAATCCCTCAATCTGGTGGACTTTTCATTATTCTCTTTTAGGTCTCATATTTTACATTGACAAATTTAGATTTAAATGCTTATTTGTATTCCCTTATTCCTTCCAATTCATAATGCTGTTCTCAGGACCATATGGAATAGTTGTATGACCTTTGGAAAGTTCTGTGACTCACTTTCCCCATCTGTAAAAAAATAATGATAGTATCTACCTCATAGGATTGTTATGATAAATCAGCAAGTTAATATTTGTGAGATTCTTAAAATAGTACCTCGCACATGGTAAGAGCTCTACGTGTCTGTTCAAAAAAATACCCAAAGAAATTTGAAATTAAAAATTTAAATTACCTTTAGAAGAATATCATGCATTTTGGTAGGCTTAAAAGGAGGGAAAATAGGATGCTGCCACGTTGAAAGACCCGCAAGGATGTGACTTGAGCATTAGCACCACTAGAGGGAACTCTGGGGCTATTTAGTCAATGAGCCTTGCCTCGTGCCAATCACATATGGAAAACTCTGAAAATGTCCTTCCTTCCACAATTTCAAGCAGTTCGGCTCCTTTCTTTCTATCCAACCCTGTGCCCAGAACCAGACCACACTGAGCAACCAGAAACAGCTTCCGCAGCAGAGAAGTAGAGCTTCAGGTGTATTTTCTTCTTCCACTACTTCCTGCTGTTCAGCACACTTGGTCTGTACACCACTGTTTGTTGGACTCATTGATAGTTTTCCACCTAAGGTGTCGATTGCATGGTAGTGACAGTATTATATGCCTTCCACAGTGACTGGCCTAGCCACCCTACCAGTTCCCCTGGTCTTGCATCATCCCAGCCTTAAAGAGCAGAAGCAAGTGGTAACATTTATACACTTGACTCGCTTAATTATAAATCCAGTGTAATTGTGGGTCTCACATAGTTAGCCTGCATCTATGTAATACCAGGAAAACTGGGAAGAAGTTGCTGGCACATTGTCTTAATGAGTTGTGTTAACCACACCAAGTCTTTATTCTCAAAATTTATTTATAACTCATTGTTCTAAAACAGTTTTGAGATAGCTTGAAATTGCATGGTATACAGCAAAAGAAAATGAGTCATCAAATCTCAGTGAAGAAAAAAAAAGTGGAAAAATAAAATAAAATCACAAAGTCAATGTATACCACGGGAGTGTGGGATTGGATACACTCTTTAGAGTTTGTCAAAAATTAGATTTTAAATGTCTAGTACCTGATCCGGAGAACTAAATCATCTATGAAATTTACCTGGTGCATGTGACTTAAAAATATCACATTTGTTAAAATAAAGCATGTCCATTCCTTATAATGAAATTTAAGAAAACGAATCCCCAAATACCTTAATGTGGATAGTTTCTGTGTTATCAAAATCTGTACTATAAAGTAGCTATGGAATCAAAAGGCCCAGCTGTATCAAACTATTCTGTTAGAGGGATGGGTATCAAGGACTATATATCCTTCAGGCAATGATTTGCAAATATTAGTTCTTACATCAGAGATTTAAGTATTGGATGTTAGTGAGTACAAAATAGGCTGAATTCCTGATGGGTATTTGCATGTATACATATATATTTCAGATTGTGAACAGGCTTATATACTAACAACTGGATGAGCTGAGAGTAAGGTTGACATCTGTTTAAGAATGTTGAGATTTGCTTATTAG